CTTTGCCAGCACCTCAGCACCCTCACAGGAAATAGCTTCTGCCCAAGAGCTCATCTCAGTCTCCCCTCTGGCAGGTTAAAGCCATTCCCCTTGTCCTGTCCCTCCAGGCCCTTGTCCAAAGCCCCTCTCTCCAGGTTACCTGGAGCCCCTTTAGGCACTGGAGCTGCTCTAAGGTGTCCCCTTCAGGAGCCTTCTCTTCTCCAGTTGACCCAGCCCAGCTCTCTCAGCCTGGCTCCAGAGCAGAGCTGCTCCAGCCCTCGCAGCAGCTCCGTGGCCTCCTCTGGCCTCACTCCAGCAGCTCCACGTCCCTCTTGTGCTGTTGCCCCAGGGCTGGATCAGGGCTGCAGGGGGGTCTCCCCAGAGCACAGCAGAGAGGCAGGATCCCCTCCCTGACCTGCTGCTCACGCTCTGGGGGTGCAGCCCAGGACACATGTTATGAAAAGTCACCAGGTGGAAAGATCAACCTGGGAACATCATGAGGCTTGAAATAAATTGCTCGGCATGACAGAGTCAGGCAGAGGGAACCCCCACACAGACAAGGTGAGACACCGCTGAACAAAGTACTGACCCTGTCTGGAATACTCTGTACTGCCCCTCCCCAGACCAACACTCAAGGAAAACCAAGTGAAATAAAAAACAAAGTACAGACACTTTATTAAATCAAAGTGTAAGAAAAACATGAGAGAAGGCTGTCCTGGTTTGGGCTGGGATAGAGTTAATTCTGTCCCTAGTAGCTGGGGCAGTGCTGTGGTTTGACTTCAGTCTAAGAGTAACGCTGGTAACACACCAGTGGTTTAGTTGTTGCTCAGTAGCACTTACCCTGATCAAGGACTTTTCAGTCTCATGCCCTGCCAGTGAGGAGGGGCACAAGGAGCCGGGAGGGAGCAGAGACAGGACACCTGACCCATGCCACAGCACGTCATGTCCAGTATAGAAACTGGGGAGGTTGACTGGGAGGAGCCAATTGCTGCTTGGGACAGGCTGGGCATAGGTCAGCAGGTGGTGAGAATTGCACTGTGTGCCACTTGTCCTTCCTGGATCTTATTCCTCTATTTCCTATTCCTATTATTATTTTACTTTATTTCAGTTATTCCACTGTTCTTAACTCATTGGTTTTACCTTGTTCCAACTCTCTGTCCACATCCCCCAATGGCTCTGTGGTGCTCAGGTGCTTGCAACTGGGGAAAAGGAGCTTTTTAAGCTAAAAGCCACTAAGGTGTTTGAACAGATCGGTGTGAATATATAGAGATTGGAAAGGGGAAACGAAACTCCAGAGGAGCTTTCAGCAAACAAACCCCAAAGGGGAACCAGCCCATGGTAGAGCTGGTGCTGAGACAGTGACCTGATGACACTGGTGTGCAGGAACCACTGGTGGCCCAGGACACGCAGCCTGGCAGAGCATTGGTGATAGGGAGATCTCAACAGGCTTTGGAGTTAAATTAAAAAGAGCAATCAAAGAGGTTGAAGACTGGGGGAAGATAAGGAAACTAAGCCAGCAGTGCCGGGGGAGAACTCAAGAATTAATACTCATGCAAGCAGCAGCTCACCTGACACCAAAAACCATTCCCAAAGGATAGCTACAGAACACATGGTGCAATTTTCACACAGCACAGCTTTGAAGATGGTCCCATTCAGAGATGAAATGTTCAAGCACTGAAGTCCCAAAACACAAACACTTGGAAAAGGAATCCTCGGCCAAGACACACAAACTTCAAATCATCTTGTGCAGCAGGGAAGGAAGAACAGCCCAAGGGAATTACACCATGGATCAAAGGTGAGTGTGCCATGAGAGGAAAGAAGTAACGGAAGAACTTCCCCTCTCCCCAGCTAAAACCTCATCTCCTCCCTCTTCTTCCTCCATGTGACTGACACGTTGCTTGTGCTTTGG